TTTGTCCCTATTTTACCCAGCACTGGGTTGTATTTAACCCAGCGGTTTTTAGAGTGTAGCATAACAACATTTGTCTGTGGAAAAACATCATAAGAATTACAAAACAATGAAATTAGCAATGGCTGTTTATAGTTACACAAAATTTTAGATGCAGTATTTCTCCGTTCCACCTTAAAAGCCTCAAATAAACCTGTATTTCTTTCCATTATTATTATTTTTTTTGTTTGTTTCAACTGTTGTTTTTTAGTTTTGAATTTATTTGTGTAAAAATGTGCAGAATTAATTAATTTGTGGCATACGCACTGATGATTAATTTGATCCTTTTTTAATTAACTACTTCAGATTGTTCATTAAATTTCCCAGAAATAAGTTCTGTTGTGATGTTAATGATTCGCCTCTGAGGATCTGTGCTGTGGGGAAGTGATGGCAATAGTTCACATCACATGGACAACCTAGGGATCACAGGGGGCTATTTTCAAAGGCTTTTTACTCCAAAGTGCACACTGGCATTCATGTCGGAGAGAACATGTGATGTCCACAATCATATCTTTGTATGACCTGAAATGTAATTCGCTAACAAAGTTTTATATTTTAGAAAGATGAAAGTAACCCCATTACTCTCTCATCACATTAGATATGCCAATAATCAGTAATAACCAATTACAATCAATAATGGAAACCAAATCTACACCTTTAGATGTCTCAGAGGACAGGACGTCTGCTACAGGAAGTAATGTAGCCCCCAGAAGCATTGGGAGACAGTTCAGCCCTATAGAGAAAACAACAAAGGCACATTGGGGAATAAAAAGAGAAATTTACCCCTGTGAAATGTGTTGAAATTAATTAGTTCACTTGGGAGTAAGAAGCAGCAAAGAAGAAAGTTATGGACAGGTAGGGTAGAGGGGCTTTCAAACTGGATGGGAACATAGGTGGAAAATACTTTTTTTCAATGCTCCACTTGCTTTTTTGTCTGATGAGGCTTTTTTATTTTAATAGTTTATAGTCTCTCTTTCTTTCATTCACTTTCTACTCTGTATGCAAGGTATACATTAAAATTAGTTGTTTAGTCTATTTCTAAACTCATATCTGGCATCATTTGTTTTGCCTCTCAATTGTAATAGTTTTGAAGTGGGAAATTCTGCCCTACCTTTTCCATTTTCCTCTCCTGGCCGAGGATTTCTGGTGGTGTCTGCAGAAGGAAAGAGATCAAGGTATCAAACTATTCATACAGCATTCCTGGCATTTGGTTACTTGTCTTGTGTCTTGTATTTATCTGTAGTGCTACATACGGGAGACACTGAATCCAAAAACCCCTTCATATTCTTTCATGAGTCTCTTCAACAGGGTGCTTTTCCCAGCTCCTGATGGGCCACTCAGAACTACAGGCCTGGGTCCTGACATTTCTCTGTGAGACAATCAAAACAGGTGCATTTGTTTGTTAAAGTGTATGTGAGATGTTTAAGTTTTTTGGTGATTAAATCCACAAACCAATGCAACACACTTTTTTTTTTTACGAGTTGCAGGTCTGTTCTAATAGGGTTGTAGATAGCAGGGAAATGTTTTAAATGTAGGCTTTTGGTCAAAAGTTGCAGTAAAAACAGTAATATTGTGAAATATTATGACAATTTAAAATACAACTGTTTTAGCATTTTTATTATCATGAATGTTAAAACCCATTTTGCTGATTAATATTTGGAATTATAAATATGGAAACTTTTGTCAGGATTCTTTGATGATTAAAAAGTTCAAAAGAACAGTAGTTAATTAAAATAAATGTTTTGTAACATTATAAATGTCTTTACTGTCACATTTGGTAAATTGAATGCAACCTTTCTGAATAAAAGGTAGTGTAATGTAATGCAGTTAGTACAGCAAAATAAAAAAGTATATCAACAAAGCAGGTGAAATGCTTCCCGTATCTTTTGACGTCAATCAAACTCTACAGTATTTTGGCAAAAATCCATCTGTCACTACATTACCAGCCAACTAGACAGATGCCAATACGGACAGGTTGTGTGACAAGACTTCATCCTCAAAAACACAAACAATGTAAAAGAAAATTTAAAATAGACTATACACATTAAATACAGGTTCGCTTGCAACGAGGACGAGACCATGAAACCATAATAATTCAAGAGCGATTTAGATTTAGAGCTACATGGTACTACATTCTGATATAAAGTGTTAGAAAAGACATATTTTAA